AAGAACATAGATGCAAAAATCCTCAACAAGATACTGGCAAACAGAATGCAGAGGGTCATCAAGAAGATCATACATCCTGACAAAGTTGGATTTATCCCAGGGATGTAAGGATGTTTCAACATTTGTAAATCAATAAATGTAATACACTATATTAACAGAGTCAAGGAAAAAAACCATGATAATCTTAAAAGATGCAGAAAAGGCATTAGACAAAATCCTACACCAATTCATGATAAAAACATTACAGAAAATTGGAATAGAAGGTCTTTAATTCAACCTGATTTAGGGCATTTATGAAAAACCAATAGCCATCATCATACTAAATGGTCAAACACTGAAAACTTTCACTGTAAAATCAGGAACAAGACAAGGATGCCCGCTATCACCACTCCTGTTCAATATACTTCTAGAAACATTAGCCTCAGAAATTAGAAAAGAGAAGAAATAAAAGGAATAAAGATAGAAAAGGAAGAAGTCAAATGATCATTATTTACTGATGATATACTACTTTACATAGAAAACCCAAAAACTCAGGCAAAATATTTCTAGACCTAATTGATAGGTTCAGTAGAGTAGCTGGATATAAGGTCAACACTCAAAAAACAATAGCCTTCTTAAACACAAATAGCAGTCTCATTGAGAGAGAAATTAGGGAAACAATTCCTTTCACAATAGCATCAAAAATTGAAATATCTAGGAATCAACCTAACAAAAGAAACAAAAGACCTCCACAATGAAAACTACAGCACTCTGAAAAAGATCGAGGAGAACATAAGAAAATGCAAAGACATCCCTTATTCCTGGGAAGGAAGAACCAATATAGTGAAAATGGCCATACTTCCAAAACTATTACATAGATTTACTGCAATGATGATTGAAATTCCAACAATATATTTAACAGAACTAGAGAAAACAATTCTAGGATTCATTTGGAACCAGAAGAGACCTAGAGTGGCAAAAGCAATTCTAGGCAGCAGAGACATGACTGGGGATATCATAATACCCAACTCAAAACTACACAACAGAGTTACTGTAATAAAAACAGTAATACTGGCAAAGAAACTGACCTGAGGTTCAGTGGAATAGATTAGAAGATGCAGAAACAACTTCGGACATACTCAGCCATCTCATCTTTGACAAAGGAGCCAACAATCCTCATTGGAGGAAAGATAGCCTATTTAATAAATTGTTTTGGAAAATCTGGATTTCAACCTGCCAAAGAGTAAAAGTAGACCCATACCTACCACTATGCACTAAAGTAAGATCAAAGTGGATTAAAGATCTAACTATTAAGACAGAAACTCTAAACTTGTTGGAAGATTACTTAGGTAGAATTTTGAAGACATTGGCATAGGGAAAGTCTTTATTAACAAAACTCATCAGAACAGGAACTAGCACAAAGAGTCAACAACTGGGATTTCATCTCATTAAAAAGCTTCTGCACTGCAAGAGAAACCACAAACAGAGCTAGGAGACAACCTACAATGTGGGAGAACATTTCTAGCAGTTGTACCTCAGACAAAGGTCTACTATCTAGAGTATATAAAGAATTGAAAAAAATCAGACCCCCCAAATTCAAAGACCTAATTCAAAAATGGGTATCTGAAATGAACAGACATTTCTCAGGCAAAGAAGTAAAAGCAGCAAATAAATGTATGAAAAAATGTTCAACATCACTGGTCATTCGAGAGATGCAGTTGAAAACAACACTGAGATTCCACCTCACCTCTGAAAGAATGGCTGCTATCAAGAAATCAACCAATAACAACTGCTGGCAGGGGTGTTGGGAGAAAGGAACCCTTCTCCATTATTGGTGGGAGTGCAGACTGGTCCAACCACTGTGGAAATCAGTATGGAGTTACCTCAAAGAACTAGGACTGGAGGTTCCATTCAACCCAGCTATTCCCTTGCTGGGTATCTCCCCTAAAGAATTAAAAGAATCATACCACAGCGATACATGTGCACCTATGTTTATAATAGCACAGTTTGTAATAGCTAAAACTTGAAAACAGCCCAAGTACCCATCAACTGGAAACTGGATAAAGGAGATGTGGGTTTGTGTTTTTTTTATAAAATGGAGTACTACTCAGCCATAAAGTATGAGAAACTAGAGACATTTATAGCTAAATGAATGCATAGTGAGGCCATACTCTTAAGTGAAATAAAGACACACATGTGTAAATACCGAATAATTTCTCTAATGTGAGAAATTGAAAGTGTAAATAAGGATTAAAATGATTAAAATGAATAATTGATAATTTGAAATAGGAAAAGGTTCAAGGGGGTAGGGGTGGTGGGAAGGAAAGGGGAAGGAAAAGAAAGGAAAGGAAAAATTATGAGAAAAGATAAAAATGGAAATGAAATCTATGTAAATAGGGAAGGGTGGAGGGGGTGAAGGGCGCACAGGTAATAGGGAAAAATATAAGAACTAAGATACATCATGTACAGGTTCAAGCACTCAATGTTAAATGTAAATGTATTGTTTATCTAAAATGTACCAATAAAAGAGCTTTTAAAAATTGATGCATAAAATAAAAAAAGAAAAATAAACAGATTATGACATATAGAGTTAAATTATTTTGTGAGTGGTAAGGAAGATTAAACATCCATTAGACCACCAGAGACAATAAGATATAAATTAGGATGTAAATTAGGAAGTCAAATTAGAAAGGAAAGGAAAGAATTCCCTACAATAAGAAATTTATCTTAATTTGTGTACACACATGTGTGCACACATACAAACACAGACACACACCCACACACACTGGAAAGTTTATTGTAATGGTTGAGAATATAGTAAAGGATCATTTAGCTTCTCATTTTTATCTATTTGTTGTCCTCACATGGAAAAGACGCTTTCTGCCACATACTCTTACATTCTATAGTCTCTAATTCTCTTATAGTTTACTATAAAGTTTATTCAGTCACTGTTTAAAATTTTTCTCTCCTCTTCAAGGAAGGCAAATACTTAGCAGCTTTTTCAAGGTCATGTTTTTTGATTATGGAAGGCTCATATTTTAAATATTTGCTCAGAGGGCCTGTGCTTGCCATACATTCTGAAGGAAAACAGCAGATTCTCATCCAAATCAGATGTATACAACTCCCACTGTATATAGCCTGTAAGAACAGATATTGTATATCTCTGTCAAGGTCCTTTGAAGGGCACATCTTACATCTTTGTTCCTCAAGCTGTAGATCAAAGGATTCAAGAAGGGAATGATCAAAGTATAAAATATGGAAGACATTTTGTCAGTATTGCTGGCATGACTGGAATTGAGCTGCATGTGAATAAATATCAGCATCCCATAGAACATGGTGACCATGGTCAGGTGGGAGCCACTGGTGGAGAAGGCCTTGCGCCTGCTCTCTTCAGACTTCATCCTGAGAATGGCTGTGAATATGAGCAGGTAGGATACAAGGACCATCAGGAGAGAGGAAATCAAATCAAATGCTGCAAAGGCCATAATTATCTATTCAATTTCATGTGTATTTGAATATAGCAAAGATAACAAGGTGATGCAGTCACAGTAGAAATGACTGATGACATTGTGGCCACATAAGGCTGTGAAAAGCTTTGTGGTGACTACAAGTGACATAAATGTGCAATAGAGATAGGATATTCCCACCAGTACCTGTTGTAATTTTTGTGACATCATGACATTGTAGAGGAGAGGATTAGAGGTGGCCATGCAGCCATCATAAGACACAGCAGACAGGGTAATAAGTTCACTACCAATAAACAGAAGAAATAAAGCAAGCTGGGCAGCACAGAAATAATAAGAGATTGCATTTGGATGCACAACAAAATTTCTCAACATTTTGCAACCCACAGCTGTGGAAAAACCAAAATCAGTGAGAGCCAGGTGTCTGAGGAAAAAGTACATGGGAGTTTGCAGCCTGGGGTCCATGTGGGTGAGGATGATCATGCCCAGGCTTCCCATAACTGAGATTGCATAGATGATGAAGAACAGTGCAAACAGTCGAACCTGCAGCTCAGGGGTATCTGTGATGCCCAGCAGAATGAACTCAGTCACCACTGTGAGGTTGGGCCCCTCCATCCAGGGTGATTAGAAGACCTGTGTTTCTAGGAATATTACCATAGGGGGAAAATGGAAATATTATCACCTGAAGGATTCTTATTTTGCAAAACCAGTTAAATGAAATGCATTCAAACTTTCCAATATTGAGTATTTCCAAATAAAACTATACTACCTTCTGCAATTTTTAAAATAATCTGTATAGGAATACATATAAATAGCAAGCAGAACATTACTGCTTGTCACTGTGGGTGATTATATTCACAAAAGTATCTTATTAACTGTTAAGCCATACTTTGGTTGTCTTAGGAAGTAAAGAGGTACTGGCATTAGTTACATGGTACTATATCCAATACCCACTCCAAAACAATACCCTTATGCATAAATATTTCAAAGGTTGAGAAGATTTCGTAGATAGATAGGCAGATAAAATAGGAATAGAATGTTTATTTAGAAGAAACAATTTATCTCAAATTCTATACTCATGCACAAAAATATGTCCTTGAAATTTTGAATGAAAGAATAAGTGTCCAAGCTTTCTAGAAATAGTTCTCATAGATCAAGTACATTTGCATATTTTTGTGTTTCATGTGATAACGACAATCCTCTTGAAATAATTTTTCTTTACATATAGAAAGTATATACTTAAATATGTAAGTAAGGACAGTTATATTTCTACCTCAGTATGCCTCA